CCCCCGGACTTACCATAGAGAAAAGAAAGGAGGTGTTTGCATCTTGAGGAATGTTTACTCTGTGATGTAGGTCGGTACAGGTACTCCAGAAAAATCCGGAATTGAAAGTATGAAAAATGGACTACATATAATGTCCGATTTTTTTGCTTAAATCAACTCATGATATGATTTCAAACACTTTATACAGAGGCACTTTCTTCTATGAACTATACCATTTCCACAAAAATCGATGATAAAATAGTCCATACCGACATACATCATCAAAAAAATCCAAGATGCCTGAAATGCAAACACCTTCTTCTTTTTTTTTATGGGCCCATACCACCTGAAGGATGGTTTGTAAGACTTAATAGGAAAATTAATAAGGCTAAGGGGAGAAGTTTATTCACATTTTTTTCACTTTTCCTTAAGAAACAAGGGTTACATATAAATTTGAAGTAGTGTTTCACGGGCAGCACGGCGCACAGGCCCCAGTATCCTCTCCCCCCCCCCCTTATGACAGGTCTGGTCTTGGCATGTTGGTCATACTTCCGTAGACTGGTTACAGAAAATATTCTTCTTTGTTAAGTCCATCCAAACAACAAGCTAAAATCAAGTTCTTTCCTTTTCCACCTTGGTTATTCATTTTTTTATACCAATTGCTCTAACAATCATTTGATGGAAAATAACATCCTTTTACTTATAAGATCCTTGTTAGTGTTTCCAACACAATGGCATTTTACTTGACAAAATGCTCAGGTACGGCTGCCAAGGAAAAGAGAAAAAACTTACCTTCAAATGAGCCAATCTCTCTTGAAAATCATCATAGGTTGCTCCAACAGTTCTCCTTAGCCACTGGAATGTGTCTTCTGCATTCCATTTTATTACTTTTCGACTTTCAGAGGATGCATTCCTAAAAAAAAAATAAAATAAAACTAGGTTGACTTGACAATTTTTAAAAGTGGTGGATTTACCCAAATTTCTGAACGTCAAAAATTCTGATTACAATCCCCACAAAATTATGGCGAATCATTAATGTGATACGTTTGATTTTAGTGCCACTGTGAATACTTAGAATTATTTCTTTCATAAAGTTAAAAGCACTAAATATCGGATCATTGCATCAACTTTTTACAGCTTTCCATGGTTTCTTGGAATTGAAAGTAGTTATGTTCTCCTCATAAACGGAAAAATCCACATGACACAACAGGAGCAGATTGATTGGCTTTGATGAAATTTTTCTCATTTACCTAGACTCGATCATTTTTTTTGCTGCCTCGGCATACTTAGAGAGCTGTTTGCGAGCATCACCAGTGAACTTTGGCCTGACGAGTTTCAAGGGTATATCATTCATTATTTCTCGATACATGGACATGGAAATTTCTGGGTCACATTGGCTCGGCAGGAGCGGATCACAACCTTTATCCACTACTTTCCTCTCCAATAGCCATCGGTTGAAAGAATCCTCCGGTGCAGTGATGGCTGCGAACAGAATACATAATTTTTAATATTTTTGTAAAATTGAAAAAATTAAAAATTAAAAAAGAAAGAGAGATGGACTAATGATGTTATTCAAAGGTAACCGAAGTGGGGGTAAGTCACTGAGGAAGTTGAACATTTTTTAGGACAATTAGGAATTGGCACAAACAAATTTTATTGCTGTATCTGAGAGTGCTTGGCAGGCTGCGTTTGCAGTATTTTTTATGATTTTTTTCTGTTATGGAAAATTGTAGAAAAATAGATTTTAAAGTGAGAAAATCTGCTGCCTTGTGACGTCATAAAGCAGTATTTTCCATTTAAACACATGTACTTTAGCAGAGTAGGTCATTTGGTCATATTTTTTTTAAATAATTGTTCATTTTAGAACCAAGGATATGCTCATGCTCAGTTCGCTCGGTTGTTTCTTCTTAAACATTAAATTTACAAAATTTTAGACACCCTGCAAATTCGCCATGGGTTGAAATTTTGTAGTTCATTAAAACATATCAAGTCAATACATTTCCATAATATGAATTTTATAATTTTCTTAGCAATATGATAGAAAAAGGATGAAATGGTTAACGGTCATTTCTTCTAAAAAAATATTTTGCCCTTCCTATTTCAGGTTTTTGCCGGGGAATAGTTCTTCAGCTTCATAGAGTACATAGAGTCGTAATGTAAGTGGGTGAGCTGGCGCCACTTTTAAGCATTTTCCAGGTCCCTAATTCCGAGACTCCTGTGTGACGCCGGGTCACTTTTTCAATACATGATCGATTGTTTGCAATACACGGGTACCCGGCCATCCAATGTTAAACAAAGAAGATAGGAATCACCATGTATTCCAAACCGCCATTTTGGATCGAACATGTATCAAAAAAGTGACTCGAACTCGGCGCACACCGGGCTCGGAACTCGTCGAGCAGAACATGGTGCCAGCTCTCCCATTTACATTACGACTCTATGTACTCTATGTTTAGCTTCCCCCTGAATAATGATGTACTTAAAATTAGGCTTTGACACTTGATAAATGGCGCTAACAGAAGTAGTACACGGCAGATGTGTTATTATAACAAGGGGCAATTCTGCCACATTTAAGGCGTGAATTTTGAAATAGGTAATGTGAAGTCTGATTAACTTGGAAAAACCGCCAGGTCGGAATGAACACTTGACCGCAATGCATTTAAATTCAGTGAGGTTTCATGCAACAAAGTTTCTTAAAGCTTCTATAGAGAAAATAATTCTGAAGAGAATACTTACATTCTCGAGACTGGCAGAGCTCCTGGTAACACATTCTCAATTTATGGACCACTGAGTATCGATAAGCCTCAATATCAGGATGTGGGTGAGGAATCATGGATGCTTGCCTCTCATAAATAATCACACCTGTTGGAATTTCTAAGTCCCATGGACCGCTGATGACAGAAAAATTACAAAGAGGAGCTATGAGTCTCAATTGGAGATGAAAGCAAAAGTGTTTCATGTTTACCGCGGCCTAACAGATAAATTATGTTGTCTTCTAGCAGACAGAATTCAGAAAAAAGTAAAACAAAGATTCATTGATGGCACAGAAAAAATTTCATGACAGTTAAAGGCAAGCAGTATGAAATGTGGCAAACATAAAGATGGAGTCACTTCTTGGAGTCAAAAGCTGATAAATACTTGTTTGGTTGCAAAGTTGCAAATCTACACTCATTTTTAGTTTTTAAAGAGAAATATAATCAGACAGTTCATCTTGAGATTTTTTTTTAAAAAAACAAAATAAAATGTCTTTAATAAAATTGGATTTATAAAATAGTACAGTGGAGTTAAGCATTATTTAACTTTCGCCATCATAACGAAAATTAAGGGAGAATCGGCTGATAGGCAAAAATCACCATTTTTTGGAAGTTGGTGAATTTGGATACTTAATTTTTCCATACGCCTTGGTTGCTTAATAGTTTCCAATTCTTAATTGCTTGCATGCCTATATTGTATGTTCTAGTGTATATATGCTTGAATGAGAAAAGACGTTAAAATCGTCTAGAAGTGAATTGCTATACTCACTTTACAATAAATTTTTTAGGGGCAGGACTGCCTGTGACCTCTTCGGATGCTCGTCTTTTCAAGGCAGCATTTGGTCCATTCATTTGTGGACTGGGTCCAGGACCACAGATTCCCAGAGGATCCGTAATTGGGTCAAACTGAGAAAAAAATATGCACAATTCATTATGTGCTAGAATCATCTAAGATTCGAGGTACTGAGAATAAATTTTTAAAATTTTTGAGGAAAATTATTGCCAAAATACAATCCATGAAAAAAAGGGATAAGATCTTCTTCATGACCAAGCCTCTTGTAGTAGTGAAGTGTTTTACTGATGAAGGCAATCAAAAGGCACTGAATTTGAGATAAGAGTTTACTTTGCGCTACTCAGTAACAGGTATATTCAACAATACCCATGACTGGTGCGGTCTTTGGAGGTTAGCGTGTTCATTGATGAGCGAAAATGGTCCTCATCACACTAGCTCAGCTGAGACCAGAGGAAACAAGTCTTCCTCATCCTCAAATTTGGTGCCCCAATTTACATATTTCTCATAATGCCCTGACAGAGGTGCAGAAAGTGCCAAATCTCGACATCCTTTAACCTCAGCAAACGTGAGGCAGATATTCGGTTGTGAGGCAATTTTAAAAAGTGATTATGATTTTTTATCTCTCAATACTTTAAAGAATGGGAAATACCTAGTACACATCTGACCGGGAAATCAGGCATTTTGCCATAAAATCGGACATTAGGCTGTACGGGAAAAACCCCAGAACATGGCAAGCAAGCGTCATTTTGGAACTTGCTTCACACCTGTGTTCCAACAGAGCGATTACTTAGTCATGCTCATGAAAGTAAGATGACCATTTTGACTCTTACTTTTACAGTCATTTTTGTACTTTGAGCACTGTAATTCAAAGGTAATTTTCCTCAGACGCTTTGATATTCTTTTGTTTTTTTAATGAGTAAAAGAATGAGGTAATTTTGATATTTCCATGACTGAGATGCTTGTGAACTCATGAGTGAACTTACTTGTGGGGGTTTGATTTCTGGCATTTCCCAAAGCGATTCGCCAGTTAATTTGTTCCAAAAATATGGCCTATTTTCTCTTTTGCTCCAAAATTTTCTCCATCCCACTTGTAGTAGTTCTGGAGGTAGATCATGTTCCATGAATCCTCCCACAGGAGCGCTCTGTATCATAATAGGAATTAAGAAAGAAAGCACATATTAGTAGAAATTGACAAAATTCAAATAATTTCTTTCAGCACTCATTCAATGTTTTATACCTACTAGACAAGATTCTCATTTTAGTATCCATGAGAGGCAATATGGCCTCAATCTTTGTTTTCATGTCAATCTAAGGATCAAATTTTGAATATTGAGAAGATATTGTGCGGATAAGAAAAGAACTGCCCTTGCTGACCAAAAGAAGCAGTGATCGCGATAAGTTGCGATTTGATCGGAGAATGTATTGCGATTTTTTGACATCGATTTATGGAAATATTATCGGAAAAAAATTGCGGTATCATCACATGAATTTGCAATGAAATTGCGATTTCATCAAGGGCGATTTATTGCAATATTATCGAATCAAAAATCAAGATAAAGAAAGGTAAAATTTCGATTTTATTGGACGCAATTTTATAGAGATAAAATTGCAAACAAGATCTGGGATAATTGCTCAGGTGTTGATGATCCTAGCAGTTTCACTGTCAAAGAATCCGAAAAATCGCAACTTAATTTCAAAATATTGTGATTTTTCCTTTGCAAAATACAATGCTACTGGGGAGGGAGGCCCACATTTTCCTTTTCCTGAACCAAAATTAAACATTTTTCCCCCCTTTTTACATTATACACCCAGGAAAATCAGAACTTTGGTCCGCCTCATGAATGAACAATTAAATGTAAGCAAATTTTCTATCAGAGTAAGGGCTCTGCTTTCTCTCCTACAAACAAAAGGTGGTAAACAGCTAGATTGTTACACCTAAAACAGTCGGCATGACAATAGTTCTCAGCCCACTTACGTGAGGCGTTTGAGGCACAAGACCCATCACTGCGCCGGGAGAATGAGAGTGTCCATGATCCAATACCAATGGACTATGGTGGGCGGGAGGCTGCATTTTGATTGGCACAGGCTGATGGACCACTACTGGCGACTCCCATGCTGATGGTCCGGGACTAGCCATCTCCTGAGGTTTACCGCCACTCACTTCGTTCATTGTAACTCAGAGGTCTGTAACATTGAATTTATTTTTCCATTATTAAGAGGAAATGTGGCAATAGTCTGAATAGACTGTAATTCAGTTCAACTTTTGCAGCACCCGGCACTTGAAAAAATTATGAGAATTTCTGTCGGGTGAGATAACAACAGTTCAGTAACAACTTTATACTTAACAAACGAATTAACATGGGAGCTACCTCATTTGATACTCAATGATACCATCCTAAACAAATGAACTTTTGTTATCTATCGTTTTGCAAACTTTCATAAGATCAGTAAAATTTAATAGTGACATAGAGCCTTGGTCAGATAAGTTGATGTACTTTTAGACTGCAACAGAAGATTCGCCATCTCCCATTCACTTCACATGTGAAAGTGACATCAGACAATCTGTTGTCAAAGTTTAGAAGTGCGTTGACTTATTTTGTATAGACTCTGCACACTTGCATAGCTACTGTGTCAGATTTTAGACCAATGTGATCTTCGGCACAAGAATGTATTGATGCACGATTACCAACTTGTCAAGCAGGCACTTCGAGCGGAAAAATTGATAGGGACTCATACGAAAGTTGAATAAATTCCAGTCAATTGTTTCCTTACTGTAAGTTCTTTTAAAAATTGGCCGTTGTGAAAAAGGATGTGCATTAAGATGGATAGTGGAGGCCAAGAGGTAGGTGCCTACCACTTTATAGGAACCCTCTTGCATAACTTTTCACTTTTCAGCAATACCACTTAAATTGGAATGGGTAAATCTATTTTGTTGAGGGAGCATCCGCAGACCTTTAAAGAATTGAATGGACTCAGAAATTCATCTTAGTAACTGGTAGGAGTTGAGATAAATGCGGAGAGATCCAACGTAAACAAACCTGGCAAATGTAAACACAGCAGGGCTATGATCACTGATCGTAGGTCGGAGCAAATCTGAGCATCACATATCACTACTAGTACAGACAGTGAGCTTAATAGAGACGTGGACAACGTGATAAAAATGTAAATAAATAGCTAGAAATACCTACAGGATAGCTAGCATGTCCACACAAAATTAAACGGTAGTGATAACACAGCAGAATGTTTGGCACTGATGCTTTCAGGACTCCAACTGATCTTAGATCCAGTGAGAAATATCATCGATGGCGAGATGGATGTAATGTGATTATCACATTAGAAGATCTGCTTCAACTAAAAATTAATGAAGATAGTGACCAATCTTCGGATGAGGTACACTAAATACCGATCATTTGGAGCTGAAATTAGTGAGTAAGCTACCAAAAGGGCGTAACATACGTTAATACATTGCGCCAAAACGTGTAATAGTATGAAACATTGAATGAATAAGTGAAAAAAAAACTCACACAAATAAGAGAAGACATAAAAATTAGTAAATACAGAAACACGTTTAACTTTTAAGTCACAGATTTCATCAAAGCAAGCAACAACTCTCTCCTCGCGACGCCATTTTACTGACTGACAAAATTTCTGAAAACACGACAAGAAAACGGTTCTTCCGGAACGAATGGGGGCAAAATGGGGGCAAAACACTCAGCAAGCGGGCGATTCAAGTTTCAGAGTGACAACAATAGTTTTTTCTTAGAACTTAGAATTCCAGCTTGGAAAAGTGCCAAAAAAATTAGGGAATCAAAGAAAATATAACATAAATGCTTGAAAATTCCAAAGGTAACCGACGTGAAAAATAATAAATACAAATATTGTGTTCTTCGAATTTATTTGCAATCTTTGTGCGTAGTAAAGAAGCCATGTTTCTTTGGTGACGTGTTTTATGAACGCCTGATGACCGCTCAGGTGCTGCTGTTGGTAGAAATTTTTAGAACTACATCGCGAGATGCATTCCTGTATGATATGTTGCCTCTTTAAAATTTGAAGGAACTTTAGATTCACAATATAGCATGTAAGAGGGAACATGCATAGGTGCATCTGTAGTGATAAATCCTTCTTGTGGTTTTTACTTCAGTCAAACTCTGTGCAATACATTTGCAATACGTAACTACTAGTGTCGGCTCATTTTATAAATAGCATACTGTGCCATCAGTTCAGTTCCCTTTAGCAGATAGGTTCTTTCAGGGATGCGTTAGAAATACTTGTTCTTTATTGCAAAATGTAGTCCAAATAATGAATGAGGTATTTTTTCAGTAGGAATTCCAGATTTAAATCCTTGAAAATTGCGTGTTTTTCGACATACTGCTAATTTCCTAAGAGAAAGCATATTTTGGAAAAATCGTGGTCTCCTAATGTTGAGGCAATTTTAATCAAGTTGAATTAGAGAAGCAAATTTGGAGATAATGACAGATGGCTTTCTCCGGTGTGAAAGACTAGTTTATGAGCAGGTGACGCTTATATTTGCACCAATGAAGTGTGTGAAGTAGCATGGTATAATCCAACAATTTCATCCTTTGTACATAATTAAAATTCTAAAAAGCTGTTTCTCAAGACCACATTTTTTATACTTCAAATGAACTCCCATTTGAATTTGAAATTTTTCGGTCCGAAAATTTTTACTGAGTAAGTACTTTTCTATTTTCCTAAGTCAACAACACAATTAAGAGTTTTCCTGAAATGAAGTCCTTTTTCCTGTGGATCGTCACAAGTGAGACTTTGCAATTTGAAAAATAGTAGATTCAAGTTCTCTGCTGGCAAAAATCCAACCAAAATTGTTCACTAACTTGCCAAAAATCGGCCTCCACTGATGAATCAGTGATTTAGTGATAAAAAATTATTTTGATACACTCAAATCATCATTGATCATGCAAATTATGGCTTGAAATTTTGAATATATGTTCTTGAAAGTGATATGCAGAAAGCTTGTAGCATCAGAAGCTGAAAAATAATACATATTTTTGACTGAAAATTGGGTTTTTGGCCGTAAGTACTCAACAATTTGAGTTCCCATCTTATAAGTCATGACAATTGCTTACGTGTACTAAAGTTTGCTGGTAAATCCTATCAAGTTTAAAAATTGACGTAGAGGTACCTAACCAGTTTGGGGCAATGTTTTCTACCTTGCCTCATAAAAATGTGGAAAAATAATCTAATTTGTTAGATATTGAAAAATTGAAATTACAAGATTGGCAATTCAAATTGGAAGGATTATAATAAATTACTATATTTTAATCATAATCAAAAAGTGCTGCTGTCACTGATTCATTGGACTTGTTATGCCAATTAATAGAATGACAAATAGGTAGAAGCAAAAAAAAAAAGAAAATCAAGAATGTTTGAATGAACTTTATTAAATAATAACAAAATAAATTTAAATAGAAAACATACAACTAATAAAGTCAACAAAAAATTTACTGTAGATACAAAATAGTACTTGGATAGTAAGCTCTAGAAATAACAGGTAAGTTTAACAATTTTTGATGAAAGTTAATTCTTGTAGAGTAGAAAAAGAAAAGCAGGCTTGAACATTAAATTCCAAGGATGAATTTTTGAAATAGGTAGAGAAATTTGAAACCGAAACACTTGAAAAGACACATTTGAGAAACTTAGTGACTCAATATGAACTGATGTGAATAAGCTAAATGGGTTTTTTGTGTTTGGTCAGTCTTAATACGGGGCAAAATTATTCATTTTCATGGAGGTAAATAGCATCGCAACAAATTGTTTTTGCAATTTTTAACTTTCTTACCAAGAAATACAATAATGTAGAACTTATTCAGTTACTGATTAGAGGTTGTTAATTTAGAAATTGTTGAATGAGAGACTTTACATGAGATACATGATTTTTACTGAAAAATTTCATTCATTAGATATTAAGTTGCAACGTTGTGAGAGATGCAGATAAAGACATTTGGACAAGCATGTGGAGGAAGGAGGAACACTTCGCTCAGCCTCAGTGGAGTAAGAAAAACTGGAACCTGTACACTCAAAAGGATGGCATAAAAAGTGGTTGAAATTAACATAACGCCTTTAAATGACATGAGGACATGACATGACACTCGGAAAAAAGAAGGACTCAACGAGCTGAAAAATCTGAAATTAAACCACCATTTTATAGATTCTTTCCATTATTGTTGCTGAAGTGATGGAAACTTGAAAATGAATCAACATAGGTACTATTAAAGATGTTATTTCTTATGAGAGTTACAAGAGAGTTTTTTTTTCTTCTTTCTTTTTTTTTTTTAGTTGGAGAAATCAGTTATCAATAAAGTAGGTATGCCATTTTGAAGGAGAGGAGGGAATTTCCAGGAATAATGTGATGACAAAAAAGTTTAGGATAAAAAGTATACCATTAACATATTGAATTTGAATAAGAAAAATCTTCAGAGAAAAATTCAAATAAGAATGATCTGAGGAGAATTGTTTGTTTTACTTTGAGTATTTATTAGCTCCATGATATGAAATTATATGAACCACTTTATTATGAACCACGATGAAATTATATAAATACCTCTTTAAAAAGATATGTAGGTTACCTATTTCAGCTTTTTCTTTCCATTGGACACAAAAAATGGAAAGAACTTTCAGCTACTATTTGCCATGATTTTTTCGTTTTTGAGAGAATTCGAAGGACATTTAACACCTCAAAAAAAGAAAACAGAGAGAAAAGAAGTTTACACTCTGTTAAACGTAAATACAATTTGCTGCTACTTGGCAACTTTATTATTACAGTTTATGTCATTCAAAGTAAAACCAATCTCTCCCATTAGAGAAGAGAATTCCGGAAAAAAATCTGATATCATTTCTAAAAGAGAAAAAGAGCGAGAAAATAGGGGAAAATGACCAAACCTTTAAATTAAAGACAAGAGAAGAAAAAAACAAGTAATTTTTCCTGCACAAAAAGCAAGCTTTTGCTGACAATTCCTTACATGACACAATGATAAAAATATTGCAGGACAATGTACATAAGCTCAGATCCACATGCAATCCAACAATTTTACAAAAGCAACATGAAAAATATACCAGGCCAAAAATAAGAGAGCTCTCGCTTTGCACTGTATAAAAAATAAACTATATTTGTTTCTCAATGAGAACAAAAGAGACAAACTTGGCGTACTTCTTACAAGGACTCTTGTTCTTACAAAGTGAATTACCGATCATAAAAATAGTGTTCATTTTATACTTTACAGCTGAATATTTATGTTAATTCTGTAATCACTCTACTGGCACAGGGAGATCAAAGCCACATCCATCCAAAAAAATCAGCACACTCTCATAGACTTAAACTCTTAAAAAAGGAGCAAAACTTGCCAAGGTTTCTTTAAACTAATCAACCACCAACTTTTATGGAATGTTGAAGGAGCAATTCCTGACAAGGTAGACCCGACCGAGAACTGCAGAAAACTTCTGGCATATTGACGATTACCAATGTTTACGGATTCATCAACTTAATCAAAAACCTGGTAATCCCCCCCCTCCCGCCCCCAAAAAAGAATAAAGGGACGAACCATAATATTAAAATTTAGAATGTACCATGTATGATGAAACAGTTCTACTCTCTGTAGCAGTCCCCTCTGTGACAAGCACTCTACAACAGATAAAGCCACAGATCCTTACTTATTCTAAAGACATTTATTGTGCCGCTCTATTTTTCGGATCTGTCTCCGTACTAATGACAAATCTTTCCATCCCACGAGATCTGCTACAGAGAGAGAGAGAAAGAGAGAGTAATGTATATTTAGTTCAATATATTTTTAACATCTTCATTCTCATGAATCATAATACGAAAACTAAAGACTTGAGACTTGAGACATCGACTTTTCTGAGAAAACTTTTAACAGTAGCTTCTACAAATAAACTCATGAAACTATAAGCATACCGTTTAAACACGAAGTCTGGCTGCTACTGGATTTTCAGAACTATTTTGACACTGGTCATTTTGAACATTTAAGATGAAAAAAAAGTTGGTGATTAATTAGTCAAAGAAATCAAACAGACTATTCGGCTTCATCAGATTATTTAAATGTAAAATTTAAAACTAGAAATGCTTCCCAGCATGAACCACTACTGTCAACAGCAGTCATGAAGATCATCAACATAACATGCTCATTCTCACATAAAAAAATATAATCACCCCACAGGGAGAAAAAAATGCGATAAATCAATAAAAAATTCCTCTTCTGGTCCTTACACTAATTTACAATTCCTTAATTTACATTTGATTTACAAAATTAACACTGTACACTTCCATGCAAATCAAATGTTGCATAATTTGTACCAATTAATTTATGCTTCTTTTAGTTCAGTTCTTAAAATACACAACTTACAAAATTCAAAATATTCATTGTCTGAGTATTGCCTTTTTTCATACTTAATAAATATAAATAATCTAAAATAAATTAAAACATCTCAAGGGGGGGGGATGTGGATCATTCTTTCGGTAGACGCTAAGTTCCAGTTTCTTTATTATTTTCAGACCATTTGATCATTAAGCATCTATTGTATTCATCAGAAATCTAACATCAATTCATAAATTCTGATATATCCCAGTTATGCTGCATAATTTTATTTATGTTTGGACATTGATACCTACAAGTATGTAATTAAATTTAGCAACACAGCTGATGAAAAAAAATCTAGAGATGCGAACTCAACTTGGATGAAGGATTATTGGATTAAGAAAAATTACGAGTGGAAAATTATAAACGAGATGGGAAAATGGATAGCAAAAATTAAAGTAAAGTAATTAATAACAATGCTTGATAACAATTTTACAACTTTCATCATAATAAATCTGAGAATTGGAAAAAAAAAGAGGGTACTGATGCAGCAAAACGAGGTTACTGCGGTCCATTTCATTGAGACTATTTTTTTTTCATTAAAGAGAGATTATACTTTATAAAAATTAGCACTGTCAACCCATAAAAAATAAAGGTCCAGAAAAATAGCAAGGAAAAATGGAGTTACTTCAATGACATCACATATATAATAACTTTATACCATGAAACTATCATTAGCTCTGGCAAGGTTTTAGACTGATAAAATGGACTGCTTTTAAAAAATAAACAAGATATACATTTGCTGAGGTAAATACAACGATGCTTACATTTTTATCAACTGATAAAGGTATTAGCCTACATGTAAATATTCCATACTCAAAGAGCTGATAGGAAAAATAAAGCAGAAGAGAAAATATTACTGGTACATAGTACAAATGTATTTCCTTCCCTTTTTCTATGCGAGTATACATGATACAATTTTATTTATTATCAATGATGAAAAACAAGCTGTACAAATTACAAAATGCAATTGATTCTAACAATATAAGGATGGATTTAAATAAAAAAAAAACTTGGAACATTCTGTTTGAAATTATAGAGACAAAAAAATTTGAAGGTATCGCAAATGCATAACATTTGATTTCATAATGAAGTAAAATTGAAAACAATGATAAGAAGCCCATATCCTAAACATTGAGGCACTGACTACTCAAATAAGATTTGATATCAATTAATAAAAAAAAAAAAAACTAACTGAGTAACATAATTTGGAACTGTTTAAAGGTGATTCGTCCTGCCGTCTTGGCATGGTCAAACTGGCGTATAGGTACGATACATCGCATTGATTAAGTAAAGTATCTTGGCAGATTTTTGAACTTCTAGCTAAAAAAAAGGATGATAGCCTCTGCTTATGGGCACAAAAAATCAATCTCAACCAAAAAATTTGTTCAGAGAAACATAAGAAGGATATTTTTTGGGAAGAGATTGTTGCATTCTAGAAAGTATGATTTTTTGTGAGGTATACTTTCTGCAGTAGCTCTAGATGGAAAAAAGGATAGGTACTCACTTAATTTTTGACTTTATATTTACACATTAATAGACTAAGTAGTTGCTATTTTGCTACTTACAGATGAAAAAGGCAAGCTTTGCTGCCTTTCTCAAACTTAAAAATACATCTGTACACAAATTTCTCATAAATTAATTATACAATCTTCAGTTAGGATTAGAGGGCAAGGTAAGATATTGCAATCAAGAGAAATGTGGAATGATTCATCAGCAATAAACGCTTTTTTTTTTGTTTGAACTGAAAATAGCTCTGTCTTGGGGTGGACACCTATACACACCATAAAAAAATGCTCCTCATTGGATCATTTTTGATAAAAAACTGCTCCTCATTGGATCATTTTTGATAAAAAACTGACAAAGCTTCATTTCAACTGCAAGGCATAAGGTGCTACTAAAGGATAACAAAAGAAAATTGTCTTCCTACGTACAAGAGTAGTTTGTAAGCTGAGTTTCTGATATTTTACATAATTTTTCTCTGAATAGGAAACATAAGTGAAAAATAGAACTAAAAGTGAAAATATGACTATGTGAGTCGAGTAAGAAATTATCCCATTGCGTCATATTCCCAATTTAAACCGAAAGATTTTAGCAGGTTTGCACGGTTTGTTATATTTCCTTTAGGAATTTATTTTTGTTTATATAAAAATCACAGGCATCTTTAAGCTCTGCTCACTCAGTCATTTCAGTAATTCAAAGAAATTTAAAACTTGAGAATCGTAAGAATTTTAAAATTTCACATATGTTTAGATCCCATTGCGTCATATTCCCAATTTAAACCGAAAGATTTTAGCAGGTTTGCACGGTTTGTTATGTTTCCTTTAGGAATTTATTTTTGTTTATATAAAAATCACAGGCATCTTTAAGCTCTGCTCACTCAGTCATTTCAGTAATTCAAAGAAATTTAAAACTTGAGAATCGTAAGAATTTTAAAATTTCACATATGTTTAGAGATGGTTATAATTTTCAAAGACTGCAGCTGCTTTGAATAGAAAAATTGGTGACAGAGCTATTCACGATCTCTCAGCATTGTTTCAGTGGTATTTCTGATAAATACATCCCTCAAAAAGGAAGGAATACAGTTTTTGGAGATACAATTTAAGGAGATCACATTCGTTCAGGGGAGGGTACTTTCAGTACGGAAAGTTAAGAGCTATATCAATTTTAAACATTTGCTCAGGATTTTAAAATGAAAAGAGATGGATCAATGAGGTAAAATTCAAGAGTCACATGTTTCTAGCGACGCCCTTTTTTTTTACACAAATCCAGTCGCTGGTATTTCATATCATATCTTTCCTTCCTTGTTTGATGAGACGAATAAAAAGAGGAGCAAAGCCTCAATTTTTCAAAAGCTACCTTCTCTTTGTGGCACTCTACAGAGGAGGAATCCTAATCCTGGACTCCCGAATATTTTTCCAGTGATCACCTGGAGCCTCCTCTAAACAGCTCCTCTCTGCGAGCAACCAGAAATGTCAAAAAGTTCAGAGCTTTGATGTTACATTACCAGTGCAAATGGGAAATCACAGAATTGAGCACAAGGGTCATTAGGCTCAGTTGTAAACTCACTGACAAACTCAACGCATTGCTTTCTGATTGTTGGCTGGCCTCTTCTTCACTTTTTTTCAAAGATAACGCGTCACCCTCATCTGAGAGCATTGCACTGTTCTCATGTCGCCTGGTTTCGTTCTTCTTCGGTCTCCTCGTCGTCGGCTCCAGAAATTCAGTTACAGCTGGAGTAGTTGTGGTTGTGGGTGCACTCGTTGTAGTTGTTGTCGTTGTAGTGGTAGTGGTGGGCACCAATGTAAAGTTGTGCAAATAATATGCAGGACTGTATTCTGCCTTGACATCGAGCATTGCTATTTCTTTCCTTGACCCTTGAATTTGTCTGGAGCGGGTGACTTGATCTTCGTAGATGGCCACAAGCTCACCTGTGTAGGGTACAACACTGTCTGAGAAATTGCCTCTTAAAGTAACATTCACTCCTGTGTTGGGTTCTAGTATTGCTTCAATCCTGCAAAAGAAACAGAAAAGTTAGTGTTAATAAATCGTACTGACAGATGATTAAAAGATTTATGCCTGAGGGCGCCTGTCTCAAAAACTGGACACTCAAAGAGCAAAATTGGTGCTGTGGATTCAAAATTATTTTCCTTCTTTTTCCCATAATTGGCGACTAAAATAAGAATGATTAGAATCACAAAGTAAACTTTAATGAGTTTTGGGTGCAAGACGGAACCGACTTTGCGTATTCGGACCACACTTTTCGAGTTTCCCCCCCCCCCTTTATCTTTCATGAGAAATTTAAGAATATTTTTTGTCTAATTTTCGGAGGATTGGATTCATAATTCAATTCAAAATATCTGAAAATTTCGAGAAATAATTTTCATAACTTTCCTCAAATGATAAGTATTTCATTGGGGGAATTCAGCAACGTCCGGATGTTCATACAGTGTTCTTACTTAGCACAGCAGTTTGAGCACTGAGCAGCACATCCTTGGCCAAAGTGCGAAACCACACATCTCCGTTTTTTGATTTTTTTTCCCTCATAGTTGATAATTCTGTACAAAGTTTAAGTTCAAAAGTTGGCTTATTTTTCTTTGAAAAAATAAACTGGGAGCAAATATTTTGAAGTTTCGTAACGGAGATATGTGGTTTCGCAGTTTGACTTTGGCCATCGGTATGTTACATTGTTACGTGTATACCACGTTGCTGCACTCCACATGAAGGCGCTTTTTAGCCGTCTAACCTCTGCCGCAGTGAGCCAAACCTTACGCAGTCTGGACATAGACGTAGGACGTAGCTAGGTTGTTTTGCTGGAGAGGGAGGGGGAGGTATCTGAGGGGTATTACATGCAGAAGGGAAGATTCCAGGGGGCCTCCACTGGTAAATTTTCGCAATTTCAACTCTATTTTGACGTATTTTGAGGTCTTCAAGATGCAGATGTTCCATCATTTTCTGCGAAAAAAATTACGATTTTTCAACTTTCGACGCATAATAGTTTTACATTTTCAAATAGATCCGGAAGTTTTTTGAAATTTTAACTCTATTTAGACGCATTTTGAAGCTTCTGTGACGAAAATGTTAATTGAATGAGCACGGTATTTTCATTTTAAACTCTACTTAAAAGAGATAAATATCTTCGATGAAGGTTTTTTCCCACCATCCAGAGTTTCTAGTGAGGAGGCGGATGATACTATCTAAGGGGGATAGACCCCCTTTCCTCCTTCCTAAGCCTGAGAATCTAGATACTGCCGTGCTGAGGAAAAACGCCGTATGAGCCTTCAGGCGTTGCCAAATTTCCCTTGACAAATCACTAATTTTCAAGAAAATTTGTGAATATTTTTCGTCCAATTTCTCACATAATTTTATTTTGCTTGCGATTTGATCTAAAAAGTCTGAAAATTTCAAGGAAAAATATCAACAATCTTCCTCCGAAATAAATATTTTATCGGAGAAAATTTGGCGACTCTCGGATGTTCATACGGCGTTCTTCCTTATCACGGCATGATAGTAGAGTACCTTTATAGCGAGAGTACGGACAGATCGCTTCATAGAGGGCTTAGGGCCGTTGCTTAGGGCCCAAAAGTGCAGCCACCCTTCTAACCAACTTCTAACGCACAAAATTTCACTGCCAGTCTGCACATTCCAATTCTAACCAAGATGGCCAAGAATGTACAGACATGAGCGTTCTTCCCCGAAATTGAGTAAATTTATGCAAAAACTAAGTCAAATACGTGCTTTATAAACGATGGTTCGTAACAATTGTATTAGTAAAGTGCTCTGGATAATTGAAATTCATAGGTTGGCTGCATTTCTGGGCCCTAACTTTATTCGCGGAGACATCGGTGAAGGCCTGATGGATTTTCGGAGTTTCACATCTGTCTATACTCTCGCTATACAGGTACATTACATGATAGTAATGATAAATGTGGGGAGAATTGGGTACCTGACGAGCTCCTTGCGGAGCTGGGTCTCCTGGGTGCCCCAGTTGATGCTCTCGAGGAGGGTGCCGTTGGGGAGGATGATGTTGGTGGGGAGGCCGACGAGCATGCCCTTGATCTGGCCCCAGTAGAGGGAGTAGTCGGTGTCGTAGCCGATGACCGAGTCCACCTTGCTCGGCGCCTCGTTGAGCTCGTTGGTGAGCTGGGCCGTCCCGAGGACCCGCGGCTGCCGCGAGACTTGCTTCCGCCGCTGGTTGAACTTCCCGATCGTCAGCTCGTAGCGCACCGGCTCCATCTCCACCAGGATCTCCCCGTCCACCCGGTGCTCTTCCTCACCGTTCTGCAACACACCCGACAAAATATTCCTCAAACACCCTTTTCAGAGAAAATCAAATCAAACTTCCGACAGGTCAGATGCTGGTACGGCCAGAGCAAGAGGCCCTTCCTATCTTGGCAATGGTCAGGGCGTCTACCACACGGAGAAAAAAACTTCGTGCGTGGGACCCGAAGTTTGGGTCATATGGATCTCTTTTCGGATTGAGCATCTGATCACTTTAGGTCTAGCTGTCGAGGTTCGGATTACACACCTGAAACTTCAGTTCTTACATCTGAAGTACCTCAGATGTGAGAACCGAAGTTTTTCGGATGTGAGAACCGAAGTTTTTCGGATGTGAAAACCGAAGTACTTCAGATGTATAAGAACTGAAGTTTCAGGTGTGTAATCCGAACCTCGACAGCTAGACCTAAAGTGGTCATATTGAACCGATAAAAACATACGAAAAACCAAGCAACACTATAGTTTTTTTTTTACTCCTCACGGAGAAAAAAACTTCGTGCATGGGACCCGAAGTTGAGGTCATATGGATCTCTGAAGTTTTCTTATCATGCATCCGAAAACTTGAGGTCGAGCTGCCAAAGTTCGGGTCAGACATCGAGGCGCGCTTCGGTATGTAGGTGCCGGAGTAATTCAGATGTGTGACCCGAACCCTTCGGTATATATCGAAGTACTTCAGATGTCTGACCCGAACTTCGGCAGCTGTACCTCACGTTTTTAGATACGTGATCCAAAAACTTCAGAGATCCATATGACCTCAACTTCGGGTCCCACGCACGAAGTTTTGTTCTCCGAGTGGTTATACCGCGCCAGCGGAGGGCCTCTCGTCTTTAGATATACGGCATAGCGCCAGATTCAAGATTTTTGGGCCCATCACGGAGAGAAAAACTTCGTGCATGGGATCCGAAGTTCAGGTCGTATGGATCTCTGAGGTTTTTAGATCGTGCATCCAAGAACTTGAGGTTCGGCTGCTGACGATCTAGTCAAACATCTGAGGTATTTCGGTACTTCGGTTGAAACTTCTATGATGGAGTTAACCGAAGTATTGAAGTACTTCAGATGTGCGACCCGAACTTCTGTGGCTGGATCAGGTACAGTAACATAAACCTTAAAATGGTCTCCAAGCGGTAGAAGAAGAGATTCTTGGTTTCTGAAACAGATTCCCTGATTTTTCTCTGATTAGTGATTACCACTGAAAATTTTCATTCCCAGATGAATCCCGGTAATTCCCAATTTTTCCTGGTCATGGACATAATTTATTCTTTGTGTTTTACTTCCCATATTAATAGAATCCACGACAAATAAGTTTACGCACTTTTTTAAACTGAGACAGAATATCCGCCATCTTGCTTCATGCATTAACTTCACATGAAAACGTGCCGTCAGACGATCTTCTGTTGCAGTCTAGAAGTGCGTAAACTCATTTGTCGTGGACTCTACAAAATTTCGGATACTTTTCCTTAGCCAGGGTGCCTACTAGAACAAGCTGGCCAAAAATCAGTACTTGTACGGTACTTTTTCAGCACATTCCCAAAAAATTCAGTAAATCCGCAACAGAAAAATTCAGTACTTTTTCAGTACCTTTATTTGACGAAATCCGGAAAATTTCAAAAATTTGAATTTCTCGCTTAAATTGCGTCAGAAATGACAAAAATTCCGGACCTCCTGGCGGAGTTTCCGCACTTTTTCAGTGCTTCCGGACTGTTCTTAAAAAATCGGTACTATATCCGGACTTTCCGGAAATTTTGGACTTGTAGACACCCTGTTAGCGTGCATGGCAAGAGGTGACAAACCTCATAGGGAAAAAAAGGAGGTATTTGCATTTCGGGCATCTTGGAATTTTTTTGATGACGTAGGTCGGTACAGCGACTTTTATAGTCGATTTTCTTGGAAATGGTGTAATTTATGGAAAAAAGTCATTCCATAAAAAGTGCTTGAAATTATTTCATGAGTTGATTTAAGCAAAAAATGGGACACTATGGTCCGTTTTTCATACTTCGAATTCCGGATTTCGCTGGCAAGGTTGTACCGACCTACGTCACAGGGTAAACAAACCCCAAGATGCAAACACCTCCTTTTTCTTCTCTATGAACTAACCTGGTTGATGAAGAAGATCCTGCCGAGCCCTTCCCGGGTGTCGAGCTTGCCGAGGAGATAGACAGGGGGCGTCTCGGGGCCGGGCACGAGGGCCGGCGAGTTGTCGGCGTCGGCGGGCTCGGGCTCCCTGTCGACGCGACGCCGGGCGATGTAGTTGTCCCGTTCCCCGGTGGAGACGGCCCCGGTGGACGGCGGACTGAATCGGTCCCACCGGACCCAGCTGATCCGCGACGACTGCTCCACGTTCTCCAGGAGCTCGTACTTCCCGTACTGGAAGACGCGCCCCAGCAGGGACACCACGCACTTGCCCGTCCCCGCGCCGGACGTGAGCGAGCCCACCAGCCACACGCCGTTGTGTCGGGCCCGGCAAACGTACACCGGATGACCCTTCCGCTTCTCTTGCGTCGCTTCGTTGCTCTCCACTGCAACAGGCAAATCTGACCGTTAATCATTCTCCAGGGTGCTTCCGCTTTCAGGAAGATTCAAAGGATGGCTCAATCAAGGGCCGAGCTTATGCTATGGATACACGCTCAAATTTCCATCAATTTCCGATCAAATGGTGACTGGTGCGCACCATCTACCATCAAATTTCTGCGGCATGCAAAAATTTGATGGCAGATGATGGAGCTGTGGGGCTCATCCTTCATCTGATTTCCACACAACCGTGCTTATTTCATGCTTGTTTCGATCAACACGCTGTTTTAATTAATTTTACTCATCAATCTAGATAACTCTCGAGTGCCATCTTGGTCATCTTTTTGATCGGAATTGGACGGAAATTTGAGCGTGTAACCAGGCCATTAGTAATTATAGGTAGAGAGGGCGGGATCTTGTAGCTACTCAAATAGACCCATCAAATCTTCAGGGTCAAACACCTTTTCTTCAAATACCAGCGGCCCAGGTATTTGATGAGATGCTTGTTCTGATTAGCCAATGGGCCTGTTGCAAACTTTTGCTAGAGCAAAAATAAGAGTTGTTTCTTGTAGATAATGCCTCAAAAATCACGATGAGCGCATCGGCAGAATCTGAAATGCACTCATAACTTCACAATCTGCGTAAGAAATTTGCGTTTTTTTAAGCTTCCCGCTTCAAAAACGATACTACGATACAGGTGAACATTTTGCTAGAGGAGTCGCTCCATCGTCGGCGATATTCATCATGGCCGACGCTTGCGCGCAGTTCCGCGCGTAATTCGAGGAGAGTTCAAGGTCAATCAATTCGGGCGTGGAAAATATGAACGTTAACACACCGATTGTTACCTGGTCCAATCCAGTTCAGGTGTTATCTCGTCCCATCAAACGTGTTTTGGCGGATTGGCGTCGGCCATGATGATTATTGCCGACGATGGAACGACTCCTCTTACAAAATGTTCACCTGTGCCGTAGTATCGTTTTTGAAGCGGGAAGCTCAAAAAACCGCAAATTTCTTACGCAGATTGTGAAGTTATGAGTGCATTTCAGAGTTTGCCGATGCGCTCATCGTGATTTTTGAGGCATTATCTATAAGAAACAACTCTTAGTTTTGCTCTAGCAAAAGTTTGCAACAGGCCCATTAATTGTAAGCTAATAGTCATTCCATCAAATATAAAGGGTATTTAAAGAAAAGGTTTCTGACCTTGGCCATTTGATGACTAGATTTGATCGTGTGACACTGACCTATACAGGTCTGACACGAATATAACAGAGGGAGTTCAGGATGACTCCCCTTGGCCAGGGGGAGCCTCCACAGGGAAGTCTGAAGTCCTCGAACGGGATATTGAAATTGAAAGACAAAGCTATAAACAAAAGGAAAAATGGTGAGATCCTATTGGTTGCAACGGATGGTTGTCGTAGGCTAATAAGGGACAAAATGATGGAATAACATTATAGGGTCCTTCGTGGGTTGCCGTTAGTTCTTCGATTACTCACCCCCTCCGTCCATTGCAACCGTTTACTTCTACTGGTAGGATTACTCTATTTTCTCTGTATCTTCTTTGTCTTCAGTTTTTTCATCATATTGTTTTGAAAATCGATGGAATAAGCCTTCGAACAGGTCTCGTGTTGGGGAAAAATGGAGATGTTGCATGTGTGAGGAATTTGCGATTTGACTGTTAATTCTTGTGTAAAAGTTCGCAAGAAACACGATGGTGCCTCTGGTTTTCTCTGAAATCAACTCCCAAGCTCAAAAAAAGCTCTCAGGTTGAGGCAAAAATGGAGGGGATATCCCACCCTTCCCTGAGAGTCCACCTCTACATCAAGACAAACTCTCCATGCAAAGATAGGGAGCAAATACATTGACAGGGCTGCCACTTCATTTGGGGACTCTAAAACTGAAAACACGGCATCACTGCTGATGTATTTGCTCCCTATCTTTGCATTGCGAGTTTGTCTTGATGTAGACGTGGACTCTCAGGGTGTAGGGTGAAATATCCCCTCCATTTTGGCCTCAACTTGAGAGCTTTTTTTGAGCTTAAGGGTTGATTTCAGAGAAAACCAGTGGTACCATCGTGTTTCTCGCGAACTTTTACACACCAATCAACAGTCAGATCGCAAAAACCTCACACATGCAACATCTCCATTCAAACAGCTAAACCGACGACTAAGAAGGCAGTGACAGTGCCGATAAGGAGATCACTCACCTTGATCATAGTGAACAGCGCCTACGACGAGATCAGGCGAAAACGTCCGTTGGGGGTACTCGCCGGGGACCCATTTGAGGGTGGTGGAGGTGATCAGTTGATTTTGGAACTTGGACAAGATGTGGACACCTTTCTCCACCTTGTCGTGCTTCAGGAGTCCGCTGTCCGCCCGGCCGACCGCCAGGATTCCGGCCAGGACCAGCAACCATGTGAGAAGCCGCCATGCTGCCAGCTCTATCCTCACATTGCTCTGCAACAGGAATTTCATATATTCATCAAAATCACATCCGTGAAAATAGCTAGAGGCCAAAGAAGAAAACTAGGTTTTCAGTATACGAGGAGTCTTCCCATTGGCTGATTGATAGGGTGTTCGTAGAGGCTTCATCGAATCGGGCGTACCTGATTCTTTTCTTAGAGGATAAACTAAGAGAGCTTGCGAACAGTGGCTGCCATGCCACCTCATTACTCATTCTGCCGTGTTTAGGAAAAACGCCGTATGAGCCTTCAGACGTTGCCGAATTTCTTTCGATAAAAATCGAATTTACCGAAAAAATTGTGAATATTTCCCCCCAAAATTTCCAGACGATTTTGTACGCAATTTAATCGAGAACATCTGGAAATTTCAAGGAAAAATATGCTTAAATTGCGTCAAATATTCACGCTTTACCGAGGGAAATTTGGCAACTCTCGAATGTTCATACTGCGTTCTTCCTTAGCACGGCAGCATTAGGGGTAGCCAATTTCCATGAGTTTGAGTTCACAGCCGTCGCCAAAAATAGAGAGAAAATAGCAATTTTTTGACAAGTAATTTCGGGAAGCAGAGCTATGACTGGGGCCACTTTCAGGAGAAAAATCTTATAATAAAGACAAAACTTATTCATAGAATACGATCCCGTAATCTGGCCGTTCAACTCTACGACATCTTATATACATAAAATAAGAAGCTAAAATACCGCGGTTGATCGTGTTACAACATTGGCAACCACTTGAGATTCCCGTATCGGCTACCAGCGGTTTCCTCTCTTCTATGATTCGATCGCGATCAACTGGATGGTTCCGAGGCGAATGCCAACATGGCTCGGAGCCGTGGCGTGGCGTGCTTTGCGACGGATCGATTGATTTGCCATTTAAACTTATGGAGAAGAATCGATGAACAGGGTGTTCGCAACGAACACCTTAATAATCGATTCTTTACCATAGCTTCAAATGGAGAAATATCGATTATCTATCATTCACGCCATAACACTGACTCGCGGAGCGCTTGGAAAGAGCCGCGCTGCGCCGCACCGCACAGTGGATCGAGTAGATAGGATAGGTCGGACATGAATTTTTTGACTAGAACTGCAAATTTTGATGTTCATTTCGTCACATTTTAAATTTCAAGGGGTGCTTCTGGAAGAAAATTTCACGGGAAAACCAATGGAACCGCTTACAGAACCTCGATTTTTTATATACACGGAGTTATAAGCGTTTAAAGTTCCCAAACTTTGTCCATCCTCTCCCATTGGCTCGCTCCGTCGTGCGGCGTGGTGTCAAACGCGCGCGCGCGCGTCAATTTCGCTATAGAAGCGGGAGCGAGTTGGGCCGGTGTCGTCGGGCTTAATTGAATTAATAGGCAGCCGTCAAGCGCCAAGAGAAGAGGATAAGTAGAGGATTAGTCTTGGGGCTCCTGGCCGCTGGAGCAGGCTGGTCATTATACCTCTTGAGTCTCGTGCTCAACAAGTGGCCGCGGGATGACCTGTCTTCGGCCCTTGTGCTTCCTCGTTCAACGGGGGAACTAATGACTGATGACTGATGGCTCCGGCTAGTGTGTGGTCGATGATTGGCGATGGTGACTGACAGCCGACAGCTCCAACCGGGAAGCTACCATGGAGCCTTATCATAGATACTTATCTTAAAAATACTACTTCCAGTGTTCAGCCTTCTCCAAGTGGTCCGCCTGAATATCGCACGGCAAGAAAAGTGTTGGGGTTATCCCCTAAAATTGTGGTGATACCCCAATTTTTTGGGATGATATGGACATTTCCAATTACGAGTAAATAATTGTGGCAGTACCGCGACATTTCGGTTAGTAACCTTTACGTGTTACGTGATAACGGATAGGATCAGGTCGCCACTCAATTTGTATCTATTTTTTCGTGTCTTTTTTAGCTGAAAATGAGCTGGTAACAGCTCGGAACGATCTGTCTTTTTGCGTTTTTTAAAGCTTTAGTCTTGATCATGTTTTAATTCCCTCCCTATTTAATCTGATTCACTGGGGTACCACTACCACAATTAATTGGAAATATCCATGTCATCCAACAACCCCGTGCTCTAATCTTTCCGTGCGGGCTTAAGCGTCTAAAAAATTGGAGGAGCTGAATCAGGGCCACCATGGCGCCGAAAACAGTTGACACAATCCGGTCGAATTTGTCGAACTCTCAATATGGCGCATGAGCCATAATGCATATCGATGGTCAGAGTGCGAGACCACGTATCTGCATTGCGGGGTTCCAAAATTTCTGTTCCTCGTTTATTTCTTGGAAGAGAAACAAGCCAACTTCATAGCTTAAGAAATATACAGAATATGCCGCTGATAAACAATAAATACCAAGGGAGTTCTCAAGTAATTGCGTTGACAAGATTTCTGAAGAGAAAATATGACAGGAAGTCTGCAACGTTGCCAACAAAGATACATGGTTCCGCACTCCAGCCACCGATATGCAAAAAGTTATTTTGACTCCTAAAAAGTGTAGATAGCTCCTAAAGACTGGGCTTTCTCATCGCGTCGATGTGGCTTTTAAAATTTTAGGGGCGAAGAGGAACAGAGCATACTACACTTAATTTTTTTTCTATCTGTCCGGGTGAGTCAGTTGTGCAAGTTCTTGAGTGTAGCTTCAAATTTTCACATACGATGGATCCGCAAAAAATAATAATATTCGTATACCTAACTTTAAATTTTTACCGTCCACTCTCCATGGACATATCTCTGAGTTAAAAACAACGTGACGTGATTGATGACACCATCCATTGCGTTCAGGTTTTTTCCCCATTTTATCATCCGGTGACGCGTTAAATTTGCTCCACGGGCATCAACGGCCCCATTGGAGAATGAAGGCTATAAATTAACGAATCCAAAGTACCCAGCTTCTCCTAATGGCCCCCTTTGCGACCGCCAACGCCACTAGAAAAATCGGATCGACCGATGCGGTTTTTCGTTACTCTGTCGGTCGGTAAAAGAGAAAATTCGCACTTTAATTTGAACGTTGCCATTTGTGAAAGTCTATAAACCGTCTACGATTAACGTAAAATGAAATTAAGCCCTTTTTCTATAAAAAGCAATGATATTTACATCGAAGAGTATGAAACTCGATCCCACACTCATCATAAGTATCGATTCACCACCTTTTTCAGGAGTGTTCTTATGGTGCAACTCTTTTAATTCGTCTCTGTTTGCCCCCCCCGCCCCCCCCGCCCCTCCCTCCCCCTTTTTCTCATCGTATTGTGTAGAGTGCTGCGCCCGCTTATGTGTTCGCGCATCTGCGGTTTGGGTCTGCGGTCAAGACTAACTTACGCCTTTGTTCAATTAGACCATTAATAACATTGGCTTAATTTAGACCGCATTATGCTGACGAAAAATAAACGCACGAGCATAAGGAAGAACGATAAGGAATAACTCCATATGAACATTCGAGAGTTGCCAAATTTCCTGCAATAAAATGTTTATTTTTGAGGAAAGATGTAAATATTTTTCCTTGAAATTTTCAGGGGCTTCAGGTGAAATTGCGAACAAAATTATCTAAAGAATTGGAGGATAAATATTCATACGTTTACCGGAAAATTCGTGTTTTATAAAAGAAAATTTGGCAACGCCTGATGGTTCATGCGGCGTTTTTCCTTAGCACGGCAGTGTAAGTGTATGGGCCCCTTCAGGTTGAAGGACATTTCGACAACGATTTTTTGTCCGCACACCTGGTTCTTCTAGTAGTTTATATCCACGCGTTTTTTCGGCAGGGGAGTTCGTGCCGTAGTACCTTGATTTATTTTTCGAGGAAAGCTTCGTACTCTTAAAGGATGCCTATCATTCTTAAAATGTTGGAGTGCCTTCAATTTCGTTTGATACTGTGCAACACCCCTGTTGTGAAATAGTTGCTTGAGGCGCCGTGGCACACAGCGGCGCAACGGGCGGCGGGCGGCGGACCATCTCCCAACGCGCAGTGGCGCCTACTAACCTAAGGGGATACTTCAAGCATTGCGCAATGCGTAAAGTATCCCCTTAGGTTTGTAGGCGTTAGTGCGCGTTTCGCGCTGGTAGCACGTCGCTCCGCTCTGTGTTATGGCTCGTGATATTAAAAATCGCGGAGTCGGTGTTTTTCAGTTCATGATTTTGACATTTTTGCACACTCTGCATGGATTTTCCTTAATTAAATTGATGGGGGGAAAAAAAAACAAAAACAAAACAAGTATTTGAAGGGTATATAAAATGTGTTTTGTAAATATTACGGTGGTTCTGTGTCAAATTTAATGATTCCCAAAGCACTTTAATGTTTTCTTTTATATTCTGTGCTTTTAATATATACTTCAGCGCGGTGTCCGCGCAACCAAACGCTCGAAATCGGACGTATTTGACTCTAAAAGATCGATATACACAGTCATACAGGTTAAAACTAATGAATGCGTGCTTCTTGGTTTTTCTCCTATTTTCATTCATTTTAGTATAGTTTCTTTGAACACAACTTTTATTTTCCGCGTGGACGTAAACTACTGGACAAAACAGGTGCGCGGACAAAAAATCGTTGACGGAATGTCCTGAAACCCCCCTTCAGGATCACGAATAATAAACGGTGGAGACTGCGATATGCCGTCAGGCGAGTCGCACTTGTCTGAGAATAAATTCTCAGGCGCATATACGGCGCGGCGCTGCACGACGCTATTAAAGCGCCTTGAAGCAACTGTTCGTTTCGTACTCAGTGAATGTCCGCGCTGCATATACAATAAATTGAAGGCGTTTTGAATTCCTTTGCCCTTACAAAAGCTTTACTGCCGGGCGTGCGCAGTTAATTACGGCGAGATGCTGCTCTTATGAATCATGACTTGAACATCGGAATGTACAGTTAAAAATGCCCGTGTTTAAGGTTACTTTGAATTATTTTTTTCGGCCAGATTAACCATACAAACTTGGTTGATCGCCAAAACTCTTGGATAAATCGACCGAAACCGTAGAAGCTCTGAGACATCTTTTGATGGCGAAAGTTTCCTGCAAAACTAATG